AGAGTAATTTTGCTCCTGCAAAGTTACCCAGCCAACAGAGCCAAAGTTCTGCTACACCATGAATTGTCTCCCACGGGCCCATGTACTGGAGATACCATTGGAAGTGGCGGAAACTTCTATTTATTTATTTATTTATTTATTTAAATTTTATTTATTTGTGTGTGTGTGTGTGTGTGTGTGTGTGTGTGTGTGGCCAGCTCAGCCCACCAGGGGGCGGGGCTGGCTGGCATGTGGTGCTGGAGGATTGAACCGTGTTCCCTGTGCTTTGCTAAGCTTGTTCTAAGTAGGCGCTTTAGACCACTGAGCCATCTCACCAGCCCTATTTATTTATTTTTATGTATTTGGTATAGGTTCTCACTACATAGCTCAGACTCATAGTGATCCTCCTGTGTTCAGCATCCCCAGCGCTGGGATTACAGGCATGCGTTACCACGCCTGGACTCAGTGGCTGGCTCAGTGCGCCCGGGAGCAGGGCTGGCATGGCATGTGGTGTCGGGGATCAAACCCTAGTCCTTGCCTAAGGAAGTGCTTAGTCCGCGGAGCTATCTCACCGGCCCAGCGGTGGAACCTTTAAAGGGTAGGGTCTAGAGGGAAGATGTTAGGTCATGGGGCTGTGTCCTTGGAGGGAACTGAGGGATTCCCTGCTCCTCCTCCCTCTTCTGCTTCCTGCCAGTGAGGTTTTGCCCGCCATAATGTGCAGACTGGCCACAAGCCCCAAAACTATGGAGTCAACGGATCAGGGACTGAAATCTCTAAAACCGTGAGCCAAAAATATACCTTTTCCCAGGTAAGTTGATTATTTGTTATCGTGATAGAGGGCTGGCCAGCACAGATTCTAACTGAGGGCCAGCAGGCTCCAGACCTGAGTCTGAAATGCATAGCTGGAGGTGCAGACAGGGCCAGGCCCAGCAGGGTTTTGAAGATTTGGAATATGGCTTTGCTGAGCTCTCTGGCCTTTATTTCCACCCAAATGGCCGCAGAGGCTGCCTACTCCATGCTATACAGCAAGAGAGATTGAGCCATTGTCACTTGGGAGTTGGGCAGAGACGCTAAGTGGGCAGAGGAGTGTGGGTGCCCTCTTTGGAGGGTTGCCACAGGGCTTCACTGGAAGCAAGTGGCCCACAGGACTGCCTCACCCTGGCTTGGAAGTGGCGACTGTGTGGGGGATTGGGACTTGCTAGTTGTTGCCAGAGTTCTGGCTACTCTGGGCCAGTGCGACATAGACAGGCTGGCTCCTAGGCCTACGTATTGCACAGGTTGTGGGTCAGAGCTCTGTCGCCCCGATGGCCTGGCCACCACCTGTGTACTTGGGTCCCTATGGTGCAGGCAGCGAGCCCACTCTGCTAGTGTCTCTGAGCCGCGGTCTCCTGCCTGTGAAATGACGGTGCTCTGGCCGAGAATCCTTGGCAAGTGCTTATAGTAGTGCCTGGCTCGTGCTGAGGACTCAACAATTTGTACTGCCACTAATGATAATAATCATTTTTTAAACATTATTTTTAATTCTTAAAATTTTTTTTAGGGTCTTACTGTGTAGTCTTTCAACACACTGTGTAGCCCAAGCTGGCCTGGAACTTGTGGTGATTCTCCTGCCTCAGCCTCCTGAGGGCTGGGATTACAGGTGTGCACCACCAGGCCTCCCAGCCAGTAATTCCTTAGTAAATTATTATTGCTGCTATGCAGTGGAAAGGGCACTGGCCTGGGAGGAGGCTCTGGGTGATGGTGGTTCTGCCCCAGCACGCTGTGCGCCAGCTTGGGGAGGCTCTGTGGGGGTGAGGAGCGGGGTACAATGTAGCTTCCACTGTCAGTGGTGTCTCCCCAGGTGTCAGGGACAGCCTGCCCACTCGCTGTGGGCCCTACCTGTGCCCCTCTTCCTCTTCCTCCTGCCACCTACCCACAGCCTCTTAGGCTTGCCGCATCCCCAGTCTGACTGCTCCCACACCGCATACTCTGTGTCCCCATTTCAGGTCCCATTTAGCTCTCAGGTCCTAAATTTAGTCCTTTCACAGAAGCCAAGGTGCTGTGGGGGGAGGGTCACACAGCGGGGGGGGGGGGGCCCGGGGGGGGGGGGGGGGGGACTCGGGGGAGGGCTCCGGCTTCTCTGTTGCAGCTGTTGTAGCCATGAGGCTGGCTGATCCACGAGGGGCAGGCTTCTCTTTACAGTTCTCAGGGCAGGGAGCTCAAGGTCCAGGGCCCCCGAGAGAGGCAGAGGCCGAGCGGGAGAGAGGGCGTCAGGAGGGCCTGGGTTTGCTTTTGTAGGAACCTGCCCCCATAGCCTCTCAGCTCGGTCCTCTGGGAGGCTGGGGCAGGAGGGTGGTGAAGTTGAGCCCAGCCTGGGTAACTCAGTGGCTCGGTGAGACCTTAATATAAAATACTTGTAATTAAAAAAAAAAAAATTAGAAAGGGCTGGGAGGTAGCTCAGTGTGAAGGGCCCTGGGTTACACACACACACACACACACACACACACACACACACACACACAGAGATGTCTAGTTCCAAAAACGGTGGAAAACTCCTATGTTAATAACCTTAACCCTTTAATGAGTGTGGAATCCTCATAACCAGAGCAGTCCCCACTTCTAACATATGGGGGATGAAGTTTGCCACATGAACTTTGGGGGACAGGTTCAAGCTATGGCAGGCAGCTTCCCTACTGGCATAGTATTGTGGGGAACACATCAGAGAGCTGAATACCATTTTGTCATTAATGCACTGGGCAAGCCATGGGGTTCTTTGGGGACACAGTTTTCTTTCTTTTATCTTTTATTTTTATTTTTAATTTTTTTACATTTTTTAAAAATTTTATTTATGTGTGTGTATGTGGCCAGCTCAGCCCACCAGGGTGCAGGGCTGGCTGGCATGTGGTGCTGGGGGACTGAACCGCAGTCCCTGTGCTTTGCTAAGCTTGTTCTAAGTAGGTGCTTTAGACCACTGAGCCATCTCACCAGCCCCTCTTTTAATCTTTTATTTATTTGTCACAGGGTCTCGCTATGCAGCTCAGACTCATAGTGATCTTCCTGTCTCAGCCGTCCCAGCGCTGGGATTACAGGAGTGTGCCACTATGCCCAGTTTCAGTGCTCAGCTCAGCATGCCTGGGTTTCTGGGCTTGGTATGGCATTACCAGGGATCAAACTTGGGACCTTTTGCTTGCCAGGGCAGCACTTAGACCACCGAGCTATCTCCCCAGCCTCAGGACACAGTTTTCTTTTCTTTTTTTTTTTTTTTTTTTTTTTGCAGAACTGGGGATTGAACTCAGATCCTTGTGCTTGCCAGGGAAGAGCTTATTCTACTGAGCTATCTCCCCAGCCCCAGGACACAGTTTTCTAAGTTTCATGTTTGTTAACTCCTTAAGCGTACTTTGGATGCGTCCTCAGTTCAATTTCTAGCACCAGAAAAAAGAAAAAAGAAAAAAAGGGTGATTTGGGTAAACCCTCACAGCAGTGCATGCTACTGGTTGTGGGAGTACAGAGGTGTACTCTTTCCATCTCTAGCTCACCTTTGCTTACATTGTGGGATTGTTACAATTACACAAAAATAGTAAATCTGTACCCTGGGAAGCAATATGGTGTTAGCGTTGAGAGCCAGACTAACTGGGCTTCTAGCTCTGTCAACAGGGTGAGCTTGGACAAATTATTCAGTCTGTGTCTCAGTTTCTCTTCTGTGAGGTGGGGGGTGGTAAAGTACTCATACATGCTTGTTATGAGCATGAAATAATATCTGCAAAGCACTTTGAACAATGCCTAATAGCTGGCAAAGTTTGCTTAAAGTAGTATCTTAACAGCTAATCAGCTACATGCTCTTCTACAAGCAGAAAGCATCTCAGGTTAGGGTCAGGGGACACACATTCCACTGTAGGCTCAGCTAATTTACTCTGGGCCTTCACTTTCTCGGCTGCAAAGTAAGGGGCTTGGACAAGGTTGATAACAAATAGTATGTCTGGAACGTTACTCCAAAACTTAGAGGCTTAAGTTGCAGTTTCTCCAGACTCTGTAGGTTGGCTGGGTAGTTCTGTGAGCCTTACCTGGGGACACTCATGTGGCCGCATTTATCCAATGCTTGCAGATCTCGATGCTTCTCATGGCCTCTTCCTATGGCTGTGTCATGCTCTCCTGATGGCTCGTGGGAGCAGCAGAAACTGCAGAATGGCATTTTTTTTTTCCTGCATTTCATTGGTCAGAGCAAGTCCTGCGGTCAGCCTGGATTCCAGGATCACGTAGACAGGAGTTCATAGTACAGTGCCTGGCACATAGGTGAGAAAAGTAATGCTGGGTCTAGTGAAGGGCTCGGTGGACGACTGAGACTTCTATCCAGGTGTGGTGGTGCCCGCCTGTAATTGCAGCACTCGGGAGGCTGGAGCAGGAGGATCATTCCAAGTTTGAGACAAGCCTGGGCTACAAAGTGAGCTTAAGGCCAGCCTGAGCTGCATGGTGAGACCCTGTCTCAAAAAGACCCTGAGGGGCTGGAGAGATGGCTCAGTGGTCTAGAGCACCTACTTAGAACAAGCTTGGCAAAAGCATCAGGGACCGCGGTTCAATCCCCCAGCACCACATGCCAGCCAGCCCTGCCCCCTGGTGGGCTGAGCTGGCCTCTCTCTCTCTCTCTCTCTCAAATAAATAAATAAATAAAATTAAAAAAAAAAAAAAGACCCTGAGTTCTGTTGCCCTCTCTTCCTTCCTGTGCATCTCAGTGTCACCTTCTATAAAATGGGTGAGCAGTGGCAGCCCTACCTCAAGGTGAGCGAGGCTGTGAGGAACAATGACCTTCAGCACACAGAAGTGTCTAGTCCCCAGCAAGCACCCATAGGTAGCAGCTGGTACCAAAATGAAACAGGAAGTCTGGCCACCATCCCAGGAAACATTCCTGGATTTGAGGGACCAGGTGTCCTGAGATTCCAGCTTGTGGGCAGGTGGCCAGGGCTGTGTTCCCACCCTGGAGACCCTGGCTTCTCTAGAAGTGTCCTCCTGGCCCTGCGAGCCCTCACTCAGATCATACGCACAGGATGTCTTCCTCGGACTTTTTATTAAATCACACACCACAGGGGATCAGGCCCCCATGACTTCACTGAAATCGCTTGGAATTGTGCGTGTGCAGGGATGGCAGCAGAGAAGATCCACTCTCTCCAGCCTTTATTACAGAAACTAAAAACATCAGAAACTATCCCAAGATGGGAGGTGGAGTGAAAGCCACCCTGAGGTACAGAGGCTGACAGACGGGTACTGTGGCCTGAATGTGTCACCCATAATTCACTTTGGACTCCTTGCCCTAGAGAGGGAGGGCCCTTTGGAGGTGACTAGGTGACAGAGGGGAGCCTCATGAATGGTGTTCATACGGTGTTAGAAGAGGCCTGAGGGAGGAGTCTATGCTCCTATCACTGAGGACTCAGAGAGACATTGCCCATGAGCTGGGGACACGAGTCTCTTGGGCCTTGACCTTGGACTTGCAGCCTCTAGGGCTGTGAGAACCCAGCTTCTGCCCCTCAGCACCCTGGTCTCTGGTATGTTGCCACAGGAGCCTGGGGGACTAAGGCTTGTGACAAGCAGTTTGTTTCAGTCCCAACCCCAGGGAGGAAGGAAAATGGGTTTATCACTTCATTACAGAAGAGGCTCAGATTCAGGAGTGGGGGGCTGAGCACCCAACGCAGAGGGTCTGGAGAGGCAGAGCGGGGAGAACCAGCTCTCAAGCTCTGCTTCCAAGGGGTGGCCCCTGAGCTGGGTGGCTGTGAGAGGGGCCGGGGCAGGGTCACTGGGTTGGGGAAGGTTAATGACCCTACTTAGCCTGTAAAAGATACAGCTCCCCCATGTTCTGAAACTGCAAACATGGGGTGCAGAGGGTGGGTGTTTTTGATCTACTTCATTCCCAGTTACCGCTGTGGGTGCCAGGGTCAGTCATGGGTAAAAGTGACTCTGACCTGCTCATCGGGGCAGAAGAGAAGGGACACTGGTCTATCTCCTCAGTCATCCCACATTTCCCTCCCAAAGCAGGCTGGAGCCTAAGCTATGCTATCTGCCCAGGGCCTGGGGATGTGGGGTTTCCCAGTCCCCTTCAGTGGGCTGTGATGTGGTCATACCCCATGTCCCCTGAGTGTGAGCAAAGGCTTCACTTCACTGATATCACGTAACCCAAACCCAGGCATGAAGTGGAGGTAGACAGGCCCTGGGAGGAGCAGGAGGGGGTGCTCTGGAGAGAGGCAGGTCTGGCAACTTCCTGACATTCTTTTCAAACACCGGCTTCCCCAGTGGCCACAGCCACAGCCACAGCGTTCCCCTCAGGTCTGTAAGCAATGCCCACTCTGTGCCAGGCCACCTCTGGCCACCAGGGCAGCTTTCTGTGCTGCTCTGGAACCACCTGGGTCTTCTCCCTGGGTCCCCACAGCAGCTCAGACCCCCATGGCGCTCTTCTCGTCCTCCTTGGGGCTGGGGTCCTCCTGAACCTTCTTCATCTCCCAGCCCCGCACCCAGGTGTAGGCGGAGGAACCACCCAGCACCAGCAGGTTGCTGGTCCACCACAGGAAGCTCTTGGTCTCCTCGTAGTACAGGACGGCCAGCACTGTCTGGGCACAGGCCTTGGCTGTGCCCGACACGTTGTGGGTCAGCGGGCTGGTGAATTTGATCTGCAGTCCTGCCACGTAGCCAATGGCAAAGCCAAACAGCCCGCCCAGTGTCATCACCCCCCAGAAGTGGGCACTGCCCAGCTGGGCAAAGTCCCAGAGGGTCTGGAGCTCCCCGAGCAGCAGGAGCAGTGGCAGGAAGAGGACGCAGGCATTGACGTTGTTGTAGAAGGTCAGGCGCCAGATGCTGCCGTCCACGGCTGGGAGCACCTTCTTGGTATAGATGGCATTGAGAGAAACGCAGAGGCTGGCCAGTACCCCAAAGACTGTGCCCAGCAGAGACAGGGTGCCCTCAGCCCCCTCCTGGTCCACACCCAGCCAGAAGCCACCTGTAGTGGGGAGAAGGGAGACAGGGCCAGAACTATGACGCCAGCATGCACACACAGTGTACCGCGGCCCTCACCATCCCACCCCTTTCACTGCAGTCGCCGCCATAAGCAGCATGGACTAGCACAGGGGGCTGTGCTGGTGCGGGCGGCTGAGACGTGACTGTTGTGCAGGATGTGCCACGGTTGTGGTGACGGTCACTTTGGGCAAGTGCCAGGGCCTCTAAGCCTTGGCTTCTCCCATAGACATCACCACAGGAGTACCAGATCTGACTCCTTTGTGGCCGTGGATCCTACTCTTGGGTCACGTTCCCGCTCAAGGAGCCCCATGACGTCCCACTGCCCGCTGGCAGGGGCAAGCTTACAGTCCGGCTGTGTGAGCACACAGACTTCCTGTACTCTTGTGGCCCTTTCTGTCCTGTGATCATCCCCAGCCATCCTCTATTTTCCTGCCTCTCCTTTTTTTTTTTTTTTTTTTTTTTTTAGGCAGGGTCTTGCTATTTAGTTCAGGCTGAGCTTGAACTCATTCTGTAGACTGGCCTTGCACTTGCTATGGCAGTCCTGACTCAGCCTCTCTGAGTGCTGGGACTACAGCCAGGTGCCACCAGGCCTGCAAATCTCCCTGCCTCTCTCTCACCCTGGGGCTTGGCACCCTTCTTATCCCCAACAGAAAACACTCTTCTCCTTTCCAGCAAGTTTCTACTCATCCTTCCAGGTCAAAGCTGACCTCTGCAAGGGGAATCCTTTTCCAGTAACCCGAGCAGCCACACTCATTGCCTGTTATTCCCACGGAACCCCTGGCCAGCATGGTCTGCTAGGCTCCTGTCTGTGGCGACAGTTTGGTCTCCACAGGGGCAGGCTGAATCTTACACGTAACACCTCCTGCCATAGTTCCAGTGGGAAAAGCTTTGGTGTCAGATTTGGCCTCCAATCGAGCTCTCCAATTTATAAGCTGTGTGGCCTGGGAGAAATTACTTAACTTCTCTGAGCTCCAGTTTCCTTCATCTGTAAAGATCTGGGCTAACTTCTTATTCCTTTTTTTTGGCGGAACCGGGTATTGAACTCAGACCCTTGTGCTTACCAGGCAAGGGCTTATTTTACTGAGCCATCTCCCTGGCCCCTGGGCTACCTTCTTAATCCATACACTAACCACTCTACTCCACACCTTGTAACCAAATGCTTTTCCTCTGGGTATCAGCCCTGGTGGAGAGGCTCCTGGTGGCTTCTCCTTGTCTTAGGAAAAATGCATTCAACTGGGACTTCCAGGTCTCTGTGGAGTACACTGTTCAGCCTGACTGTGAGCCCTGCCTCAGCCTCCACGAAGAAGTGCGTGTGCCCTTCCTCCTTCCACCCCGACATCCTCTTCCTCCTCTCTCTCCCCCCATGCCCACATGGTACTCTCTCCAGAAAGGCTGCCTTGATTGCCCATCCCTTTATTACTGACAACTAAGTTAGGCAGAAATATTCTAGGTGGTCAGACAGGGCTGGGCCCTCGAGGCAGTCAGTGCAGAAGAGGAGAAAGCATCGAAACTGTGGCTGCAGGCGCATCTGAAGAGGATTAAAATCAGTGGCGGGCCGGGGATGTAGCTCAGTCTAGGGAGCTCAAGGTCCTCAATTCAATCCCCAGCACAAAAAAAAAAAAAAAAAAAAATCAATAAATATCAGAACTGAGTCAAACTTCTGTACAAAGGGAATTAGTAGGTGTCTACAGAGTGTTCCACCCAACAACATCAGAATACAAATTCTTCTGTGCTACACACAAAGACATTCTCCAAAATAGACTACATACTAGCTTATAAAACAGGTGTTATGGTTTGTGTCTAGGTGTCCTCCCAAAGCCTCATGCAGTCATGGGGCGGCTTCTGGAGTTTGTGATTGATTATTGTG